AGGTTTCGGTTGTGACTCTGAGGTTCGTTGACCCTGAGACTGAGCGCCCTGTGCCGCTGCCCCTCGTAGTTCGAGAGGCTGCGGAGGCTGTGAGCGTGGAATGGAAAAGGCCTTCGGCACGCCTCCCCTGCATCAGCCCTCCCCCTGGAAACCTTTTGCGGGACTCCTTCTTTTGCAAGTGCCACGTGGTAATTACCCCCGCAAAAGAAGGAGTGCCGCAGAAAGGAGTCCGGGAGCTCTTGTTGTGCTCCTTGGAGTTCCCTGGCTGCAAAAGAACAACCTGTGTCTCTTTCTCCTAGGCCTCGAAAGTCCAACAGCTGCAGCAGGAGCTGCCAGAGGCGGTGTCGAAGGCGGGAGACCTCGCACCAAAATAGTCCTTTTGAGCTTCCAGCTGCTCCTTGGGCAAAAAACTAAACACTTTTTCTGAAAGCCCAAGCATATGGGTGAGAGATGTTGGAGAACATCGCTACTTCCCACTAACCAGCAACAGTTGAAAGCCTATATCCAAAGCTGATTTTGTTGATGTGTTGATTTCTTTCTTGTAGCATGCACGCAATGTCTCTGCCCTTTAGGCAAGGAAGTGTTTGGAGTCATATTTAAAATTACGGCTTAATTCATACATGGATGCATACCTCTGGTTGGTCCCTTGGACAAGCCCTTGTTCACCCACCGGGAAATATAACAGAGAAGTGGAGTGGCAGACAAAGGACACAAGAAAGGGCGGAGGAAGGTCAAACCCACAGTTGTAGCTCCTGGTTGTCCCAAAAAGCGTGCACCTCCGACCAAGCAAGGCACACGCAAGTGATGCCCTTTTCCTTTTCCCACTCTGGAGTTTCCTTTGAGCAGCAGATGGTTGTTGAAGAGAGGAGGAGGGAAGGGTTCCCTTGTGAGACCCACCAAGAGCACAAACAAAAAGGAGTAGAAAGGGAAAAGAAGAGAAGGATAAAGAAGAAGCAGAGAAGAGGGAGGTTCCTGTGAGACCCACCTGGAGCACTCACAGCTTGCTTCACAGTGCTACCCCATTCTGAACCGGGGTAGCCCGCCGGGAGAGCAGCGGATCTGTGTATGGCTGCAGGTGGCCCGGATCAAAGAGCAGCTGCAGTCGGAGCTGGGCGAAGCCGTGGCCAAGGCTCGAAAAACCACAGTTGCCGTGCGGGAGGGAGTGTGTGCCCCTTTTCTTGTCTTTTTTGTTTGTTTGTTTTGTGTGTGTGTGTGTGTTCGCACGTGCGCTGTCCTTTCTTTCCTTCCTTCTTTCTTTCTTTCTTTCTTTCTTTTCTTAATATCTTGTTTTTGGAGGGGAAGAGCGGAGAGTTGCATGGTTGGGTGTTGGCCAACCAGCCGCAATGTGCTTTGGCCTTTGCCTTCTCCGCATAGCCCCCAAAAAGACGAGCCCTTCGGCGTTGGAGTGGGGTTGGCTTTCTCACTGATGCGTCGAACGAGCACCATGCTCAGCTTGAGGCCCGCGCTGTGGCCGAGGAGCTGGCCCGGGAGCTTTTGCAGGACAGAGCTCCAAAAGAAGCCTCCCGTTTTCTCCGGGGCCACTCAGGGGACCAAGTGGCTTGAGCAAAGCCTTGATCTCCATGGGAAGCACCAGTCCACGAATCTGGGGTCTATTCGATCAGAGACGGCGCAAGGGTGGCTTGCGAAGGACGTGTTGAAAAGTCAGGGGTTTGCTGAAACTTGGGTTCTTCAAAGTCAATCCGCAAGATCCTCATGCCGTATGGCAGTGGTTTCTTGCCGACATGGTGCACCATGTGTACCACTACGGGGCTTGGGGAATCCGGGATCCCCACCCCAGTCATGCTTTTTGCCGAAGAAGACCAAGCTGTCGGAGTCTCCATTTGCCCCACCGTCTGACCCTTCGGGTTGGCCAAAGGAAGGGCTCCTGTTGGGTGGGTTTTTAATGGAAAACCTGAGCGAAATCTACCTGGATTGGCTCGGTTTGTTTGAGACACACGGACACCATATTCCCAGCTTTGGCCAATGGAGCGCTGGAAAGCTTGAGCCCTCCTGTCTGGATCCTTTGGGTTTGTAGCGCAACCATTTGGGTTTGTTTGGTTTTGAGGTTCATTTTTTTGGTTTGGTTTCAGGGGAAACCACGCGAAAACCAGCCATGTTGGCCGTGTCCCTTTGATGCATACCCGTTTCTCAGTTTCGGGTGCCATGCCAGGAGCGGCAGCGCCGTGAGGCAATGCAGGCTGGGGGTTCTGAGGCAACCTTTTGGGAACCCAGGATTCATAAAGCTTGGACCCTGTCCCCACGAAGCGGGGAACACTTTGATCAACCACCTAGAAACCCAGATGTGACGTTTTTTTTGTGTGTTTTTTTTTGTTTTTTTTCTGTCCATACGGCTTGGGCCGCAAAAAATGACCATACGGTTATTTACGGCTTTTTGTCAACAATTTGTTGAAACAATACGGGTTGCATACGGCCAAATACGGCCACCGGCCAGCAAAAAATGACCATACGGGAAAAATGATCCAAATACGGGTTCCGTCCAAAACAAAACGGCCAGACGGCTTTCCAGGCACTAAGTATGTGGGGGGTCCAACATGCACCCCTGATTGATTTGTCGAAGAGGTCACCTTGTTTAGAGGGGATGGTTCACTTTTTCGGGAACACACTCGAATCCCTAATCACCCACCAGGTGAACCAATCGGGACCAGCAGTATGGTCACAAAGGATGCTTGCAATTTTGCGCCCTCACCCATGCTACAGGTTCCGTAGTGGTGGGTGGGTGCTTTTGTTGGATTCAGCGAAGTCCCACAAGTTGCTGGCTCTTCAGAAGGCGCTTCCCCGGGTTTGTTTGGCTTGCGAATTTGTTGCAGGGCACTTTGGTGGGGAGATGGGGGCTGTCTTTTTTGAGGCTGACCTTTTTCGTGTTCGTTTTCTCTGCTCATTTCGGGTCCTTGCTGGGTGGGGGGCGGGTCGCGGGTGCAGGAGCGTCCAGCGCAGGCAGGGTCTCTGGAAATCTGGGAGGAGGTCCACATCATTCCATATCCAACATATCCAAAGAGGCCCCCTGAGAATATTTCCCTTGCCAAATGGAAAGTCATGCATCAGGGAGCTCCGGATGTCTGGGGTTGGGCCCTCGCAAAGGGGGTTGTGCAACCGAAAGCCCATGCCAGATGCAGTTAGCCAAACGTTGCCCGCCTCAAGGGGCTTACCTCTGTGGAGTTGGTAAACTTGAACTCAACCAAATTTTCTGTGTAGGTTTTTTTTTTTTTTTTTGCCACGTCGCTTGCATTTATAACTTTTCCCGAGCAGCCACCTTGCCCAGGGACGTAGCAGATATATAATACACATATGTGTATATATATATAGAGACATGTATGTATATATGATATGTATATATATATATATATGTATATGTATACGCATAGAGACACCCAATCGATGCATCGCGGTGCGAGCTGCTTTGGAGGAAGCGGCGCAGGCTATCCTGCAAGGTTCCAGTTCAGCAGGCTGCAGACGCAAAGCTCGGAGACTCCTTCGTCTTCAGAAAATGGGCGGTTCCAGTCCCCTCACTCCAGGAGCGCTTTGGCTTGGTGGGCTCCTTTCGGAACTAGGATTACTGGTTGATGTACTGTTTTCAGGGGGGGTGTCCCAGTTGAGAGGGGGATCCTTCACCCTCTTGGGGGGGAGCACGGGAGACACGAAAGCCAGGATGCCAACATGGCGAAGCAGCTCGAGGACGGAATCGATGATAGCCAGTCGGTGGTTGGGGTTGGACCCATCAGAATTTTGGATTGGGGGATGTCTAAAACCAGGGATTTTGGTGCATTCTCGCGGATTTTGAGCTTGGATCAGGCAGGATTTTGGATGGGGGATGCCAGTGCCGGTCCTAAAAGGGCACAGGCTGTTAAAAAACCTGGAGGCAAAAGCTGCGTCACACGTGTTTTCCCCTGGCTTTTCTGCAATTTGTCATCTCTGGCTCATGCTTGTCAGTGAACGGGAAAGTTCGGACAGCATTGTTTTCATGCATAAATGGTAAAACACCCATGTCTTTTGCATAGTTGCAGTTCAAATGCTCGAAAATCTGAACCAACAAGCTGCAGCCAACAATCGCGGCTGAAATCCTTCTCAATCGGAAGCCGTGCCTCCAAACAAGCTGTGCGTGTAGCGAAACACATTAGAGTGAAGCTGGGTTGCTATATAGACTTGCAATGATTGCCACCCTCTATCCATACATTGAGCCCCCACTATGCTGCAAGCAGGTCGTTTGCGTGCTCTCGTCACAGAAACTCTTCTAGCAAGCTCATGTTTGCAGGGATGGACATTGGTGGCTCTCCAGACGCTTTTTGCCACACTGGCATGTGTGTTCGTGTGCGCACAAGCCTTTTGCAACAGCAGTAGCATCCCCCCCCCAACCCCCCTCCCCCACCCACCCCCCCTCCCCCGCATATCATAGCCCAAAAACAGCAAACGGCAAGAAAGCACCAAAAGTACCAGGTTTTTTACCAGCCGGTTTCCTCCTAAAACGCCCACACCAGAAACTGTCAGGCAGAGGACTGCATGTAGCAAGTAGTGCGCTCAAGACAATCCCATGAAGCCTGTAAGAAACTGAAAGGGAACTCCTGACCTCCAAGCTCAATGAAATCCACACATGTGAGGCGCTTAGGACTTTGGCCATCAGGGATCCTGGTGCGAGAGAGGCACACCGGCACCACTTTGTTCCCCCAAAACCATCTTGAGCGTACCTACTCTGGGTTTGGGACCTAAAGAATTGACCGAAGAAGGCGAGAAAGGTCTCATTCAAGCACTGAAGACGCTTGTTGATATCGATTGCACAGGACGTGACAGGAAAAGTACGCCCTTGCACATAGACATGTTTTTCAAGACAGCCATAATTTGTGGAGGAAGCTCTTTTTTGGGGGCCCCGAAATTTGGGTTCCGTGGTAATGTGCAGGGGGCAAATCTTCCCAGCTGGGCATGGTCAACCCCAAGCTGGCTTCCCTTGTTTCATTGTCGTCACTGTGCCACTGGGATATGTATGGTTCGATGTTTCTTTTTGGTTTCTTTTCAAGTGCCAGCCGAACACCATTCTAGATGTCCCACCTGTGGATTCGACTCCTTTAGCACTCCTTTTGCACTTTCCGAGGAGGGTTCCACAGAGGCGGCGTCAAAAACCACAAACCCACCTTGCATCTCCCTGACCTTCATTTCAAAAAAAACACGGGTCATGACCCCTTCATTTTGGGTACGGCGACGCTCATTTTCAAACCTCAGGAGCTGCAGGAGAAGCTGGTGAACGACCTCATGGCCAGCGAGGCGACCGGCATGGAACCCCAAAAGCAGCCAAACGGGCCCGCAACTCCGCTTTGATTCGTAGCAGGGTACTCGGTACTCACCTGCAACCTGATACACTAGCACGCAACCTCCCAAAATCAAAATGGGTTCTCCATGGTTCTCCTGAGTTGCAGTATCCTTGCTGTAACGGGCTTTAGGCTACAGGTGCAGGCTCCCTGTGAAGTTGCAGGGGAGTACTTGGCATCTCTGACCGGTTGCCAGTGTCCTCGGCGGCAAGATTTTGAACCCTGGGATAGACTGCAGCAAGGCGCCCCTTGCAGAAAGTGGGGGGTGGTTCCACAGTGTAGCCAGAGGCGAAGAATCTTGGTCTAGGTCAAGGAAACCTTGTGACTCGGGGCTGCAAGAGAATGTACCCGTGCGGGTGCCATTCGCGCTCTCTTGAATGGCCCAAGCTTTCGTAACCCAATTTCCCACACGCAGGGTGGAGGTAGATGCATCGTTCCTTTGAAGTAAGCGGCCCCAAACCAAACGGGTTACTAAACCAACAGGGGTGACGAAATCAAGAAGGTTGCTAAGCCAACATGTGGAATCTGCTTTCTAAGCCACAGGACGCGCTTATCCAACTACCCACGTGCAGCTGGGTGGCGGAATGAGCATTGTTGCATCAGCTCCAGCCATACCAGAGAAAACCAAGCGCCTGGTCGGAGCCTGAAGCCTTGCTCGAGGAGATCTCTTGTGCAACATGGGAGACCTGTCGGCCACTACCCTGAAGAACATTCTCAAGATGCGGATACCAGATGCAGCCATCCCAAGGGCCAGAACTGCTGCTGTTCTCGTACACGTAAAGGTGCAAACCCAGGCATGAGTCGTCCGGACCGTCTCACTAGTGCAAGGCCTGAATGGCCACGGACATGAGCCAGACCCCAGTGCTTTGTTGGGTGCTGCTTTTTGTTGTGGTTTTTGTTTGGGTCACCTTGTTTCCCTTGATGTTACCGAGGGGCATAGGCTCCTGTGCCCCCTGCGCTGTTTGAAGACACTTGCTTGGGATTACAGGCATGTTTCGCAGGCCATTCAAACCTGGGGTGGTGCGCCACTACTTTCAGCCTCTGCAGGCGCTATGTATTTTGCCTTTCTAGGGACAATGCACTTTCTGGAAGCTACAAGAGCTGGCCTAGGCCCCACGCGCGCAACGCCGCGCATATGGTTGGAGTGGCAGCTACTCTGCTTTTTATTTGTTCCGTTGTCCATTGAGTGTAGAGGGGATGGGTAGTGTGAAGCCAGCACCTAACGCCTTTTGAGCATGGCCCACCTTTCTTGATGGGTTGGTTTTTCATGGCTTTTGGTTGCTGGGTGCCCCTATCTTCGTTCTGTTTTTCACAACGTCTTACTGGTTATTGGGGCCTTTGCCATGCCAATTCGTTATATCTTCAACTCGAGTGCCCCCGGGTTTAGGCTAGGGCTTAAGGCCGTGAAGAGGCCACACATGCATGGGTTCCGGGGTGCGATCAAAGACCTGGCTGCGTTTCTTCGCTACAGGTTTTATCCGTGATTGAAGGCGTATCCAATTTGATGTTGAGTATCAGGAACACTCCCAGATGGAAATCCCTTAAGTGAATTGCACCAACCCATGGCCCTTCGAACGTTTGGTTTAATCATTTTAATCAGCAACTCTTTGCGTGTGCGCGTTACACGCGGGACCCCCCCCCCCCCCCAGAAAAACAAAGAAAACGGTGATCTCCTTGTGGCCCCCAACTCAAACAGCCTATTTGTGCGTTTGTTTGCTTCGTAAGAGTTCGCAGGCCCGGCTGCGGAAGGAGGAGTCCTCCATTCGGCAGTTCACGCGCCTTGGCCACACGAGAGCTGATCCGGGATCTTGGATGGTTTCCACCCCACCAGGGGAAAATGGGGTATAAACACGGTACCCTGTATGGCCCTATAGTGGCCTAGGTGTTTTCTGCATGTTCCTTCTCTGCAGTTGTTCCTTTCAGTCTGGCGTCTTGGATAAAAGCAGGTCCAGGGCAATTTAGGGGAACTGGGGCTTCAGAAGTTCAAGGTGGCAGCGCAATTACCGCCTCTCGTGCTTTCGGGAAGTTACCCCAGAATCCGCCGATTGAGCAAGGTGTATTGGGGGAACCCCTCGAATATGGTTGATTTGCCCCCCACTTCCGCTTCACTCCCCTCCTAAAGGTTTCACGCAACCGGCAACAGAAAACTCAAGAGGAAATTGTCCAAATACCAACCAAGCACAAGGATTGCTTGCAGAATTTCCTGTAGTTGGTTTCTTGGAAAGGGGGAGTGACCCACTTGATGCCACCGCTTAGAACCGGCCCATGTCCCGTTGGACTGTTGGGATCCTTTATCTGCCACTTATCCCAGCTCCGAGGTCCGACCAGGCGGCGCAGCTCTGGGTCTCCGTGGAAGATCTGCAGGCGAAGCGGCACAACGGCGCCCGCGAAGGGTTCCGGGAGAAACTGGGTAGACTCATAATCAGAGGCAACAGCTGATGCTTAAAGCATGGAATCCAAGCCCGGTGATAGAAATCAAAGCCGTTGCTTAAAGCATGGCTGGCGAAAGGTTCGGAGCCTTTGATTTCCAACTCGCGCTTTGGCGCTTGCCACAGGCGGCCGTGCAGAAGCTGACGGGGCCAGGGGCCCGGGATGAGGTGAACCTTTGCGGCCTGAAGCCTCGCAAGATCCAACCTGCATTGACCACCCTGGCTTCACTGGCTGAGGATATTGCAATGACATTTGAGTGCTGAAAACCCCACTGGCATTAAAGTAGGTGGTACTTGTTTTATGAGGGCGGTGGGCGCCGCTTGGGGATCAAAGCCAGGCTTCTCATATCAGGCCCTCCCAAAACAAGGCCTTTGTTTTCCCTAGGCGGGGCAACAGCGTTCCGGGCTCTTTCGGGCCCTCAGCCGCGAGTTTGGCTGAGGAGCTCACCATCGCAACCGAAGGCGTGGGCGGACCGATGCCCCTCCCCCTTCCCCCCAGTATGGCGTTTTTGTTCCTCTCAGGGGACCGACTATGCATGGACCATCTTTCAGTTTTTCCCAAGACTCGAGCAGCATTCATGCACTTTCAAGCGGAGGAGGTCAATTGCAGCCTTTCGTTTCAGTATTCCCTTCAGAAGATATCCGTGCTTCGCCATGAACAAAACACTCAATCCCATTACATATACTTGGACCTTTCTGCAACGAGGATCCCTCCATTGAAATGCCGGCTTTGAACAACGAGAACACCCATTGCTCCGAAGATGACTAGCTCGATCCCTCAATCCCAGTTGAGGTGGGCACCACATACACCCTGAAGAAGGCCGCCATGGGTCATGACTCGAGTCCAAGCTTCCATCATGAAATGTGCACGCGCATTCGCATGCATATCCACACTTAGCTCCTCTCATTTGGATAGTTTTGTAAAGTTATGTCGGGAAAAAAACAGCAGTTTTGCGAAGAGGAGGTGCTTGAGAGGACTCGGCAAGGTGAAGGTGGCATATATGCCTCCAAGAAGTTTGGGTTGGCCAGCGGTATCAGGCGTCCCTTCAGACGTCCTCAATGTCCGCGTTTGCTTTGTTTGCCCCACCCGCGACAAAAGGCTTTCTGTACCCGCACGAGGCGAAGGAAGAAGTTATCATCTTCAGTCTGCGTGCTTCGTTTGGGGATTTCTAAGTGTTCATTCCCCATTCTTTTGAACCCTCGTTCTTTTCAAAGTCCAGCCGTTTTCCCTGGGTTGCTGGGGGTTTTCCAGAAAGAAGGATTCCTGGAGAAAATGGGGAAGGTGCCCCTAGAGGATTGTCTTCCTCGGGGTCTTCGCTTCCCCCAGGCCGACCGTACGGATTGGTTCCATCGGTTGGGCGCGCAGGTTGGCCGGGAGTTGAGCGTTGAGGCGGGAACCGTCGTCCCAACCGATTTGGGGCCACTTGGAGTGGGACCTTTTGGTGGTTGAATGTTTTGGGAATTGCTGGCTTGCAGGTTGAGTTTGGGTTTGCAACCCTTGCGGGTAGATACACACACATATATATATATACTTATTTGTATTTCCTGGGTGCGCAACTGTGCAGATGCCGAAACTTGAATCGTTGTTGGGCCCTTCAAGGGGAAACAACATTGGACCACCTGATTGGGCACTATTGTCGTCCCATTGGAATTGGGAGCCCTCTTTTTTGAGAGCACCTTGGCCAATCATCGGAAGGCCAGCTTACGGAAACCTAGCCCTTTCGGAAACCCAAGCCTTTCGGCCTGCTCAAATATTAAGGGATGCTGTGCCTGTGCCTGCTCCTTCTCATTTCTGGAGGGCTTACAACTTCCTCTCATTCGACCCGCGAGGTCAGTTTTGCCAAGCTTTGGCTTTGCTGGCAAGGCCCCTTTCATCCAATCACTAGGTTAGCCTTGGCTTGCGCGAAACGTGCGCGAACCGTGCGCGAAACGTCCAAAACTCGACGATGCTGCTACCCCTCGCATAGCCCCCTGTGCTTTTCTATGATTGTTGGAAGATGTATTGCGTGCTTCCATGACTGCTTGCGAGGGGTCCAATTGGAACCTTGGATAGGTTAACCTCACATTCCCCTTTTTTTTGGGGGAGGAGTAACAATGGAAATTGTGATACATGCCAGCCCGTGATCTTTCAGAATGTGCCCTATAACTTAACCACAGCTTGTTGCAAGGAGGTGAAGCAGTTCGAGACGGTGCGCGTCACGCCGCCCGCAGCCTAGCTCGCGGCAAAATGTCTCTTGACTTTGTTCGGCAGTGGTGGCCTGTGTTGTCACAGTGGTGCATGTTGCATGAGCAATTGTCAGGGGGCCTTTCTCAAAACGCTGGTAGCTCAAACACGCTATGAATTCGAGGGCTTGGAATATCCTGAAAGATGGGCGGTAGATGGTGGTGGTGGTTGATTATTTGGTTGATTGGCTTGCATTGGCTTGGATTGGTTTGGTTTGGTTTGCTTGTTTGCTTGTTTGCTTGCTTGCTTGCTTGCTTGCTTGCTTGCTTGCTTGCTTGCTTGCTTGCTTGTTTGTTTTTGGAGGTGGGGCATCAAGTCAGATAGATCCGAGGTTTGGGCTTGGACAGTTGTTAGGACGCGTGTATTATCGCGTCCTATTGCATATGACATGTGTTCATGTTTGTCCAACAGGGGACGGCAGTTGAAGATAATGGCAACCTTGGTTTCCAACAGCTTAGTAACATCCGAATCCTCACCATTGTCTTACCTGATATCATTGGGACTCCCAAACCCCACCCAAACTTTGTCGGGACTCCCAATTCACCCTTACCTGAGCAATACTCCCTCTTAGGCTCCCGTTTTATCTGATCGTTGCCCTCGTCTTACCCCAGTCAGTTGATCTGAGTTTTCGCTACCCTACCTCAGGCCTTTGCTTCCCACGGCTTGCCGGTGTTTCAATTTCAGATTCGTAGCCTGGTTAAGAGCAAATGACGCCAAAATAAAGACTTGTTCAAACCTTTGTGCTGGACGTTCATCACTTACTCGAGCCATCCAGGGTGAAAGCGCTTTGTGCGGTGACCTGCCAGCTTCCCAGGACAAAGTCGGACGGAGACACGCTGAGGACCCCGGTGATGGAATCTGCAGGGATCAACACACGATTGCCTAGTTATTCTTCGCGAGGCCCACCCTTGAAGTAGTAAGGTCGCGGTTGGTGTGACTTCAGTCCGCGTCAAGATGAGGATTGCGAATTTGGGATTCTGCACCTTCGCAGGAAAAGTCCGCGCCAGCATCGAGAGGACCTGCAGCTTGCGGATTTGTATAGTTGGCAATCAGCCGCGCGGACCACAACGGAGTTGACATCATTTTTATGTAGGAGTCCTTATTCTAAGGGTGGACCGCTTTTGGCTGCCATACTTGGTGTCAAATGATGTGATGTACATTGTCTTTCTGAGTGAAGGCAAAGCAATTTTTGCAGAGGTTTCTTCCAGTGGTTCCGATTAAACCTCGGGGGTAGTGGAAGCCATTTTGGGTGACTTTTGTTTTGTCTATGGGTCAGTGTCAGTGGGCTCCCCACGAAGGCTAACACGTGGGAGTGGCTTTGCTAATGAGACGACAGATCCTGTGTTTTTTTGTGGCTTCTTTCATTTTCCCTTTAGCCAGCAAAAGACAATTTCTCGCAGAGGGCCTCAATGAAGTCTGGCCAAGATTGTAGAGAGCAATGAGTTGGGTTTGCACATGAGGCGCATTGTGGCCCCGGGAAACCTGCAAATGTTCTAGGGGACGCTTCCCCATTCTTTCATCCTTTTCAGGAAACCATCAAACCATTCTAGGGGAAACAGCTGGTTTTTGAAACGAACGATGGTTGAAAAGGATGGAAAAGGAATCAAACAGTAGAAATGTAAACGTTGTTTCTCGCCTTCCGGCGGCTCCATCCGACGGAACGGGGTTGCCCGAGAGGAGCTCTTGCAGCGGCTGACGGAGGCGGAGAGCAAACTGCAGCGGCAGCAGGGCCTGGCTGGGGCGCCCAGCGTTTGAACAAGTTAGTCCAAAGAAATGGATCATGAGATGGCGCAGAGAGAGTGAGTGAGTGAGTGAGTGAGTGAGTGAGTGAGTGAGTGAGTGAGTGAGTGAGTGAGTGAGTGAGTTCGTGCGTGGGTGGGTGGGTGGGTGGGTGGGTGGGTGGGTGGGTGGGTGGGTGGGTTGGTTGGTTGGGTGGGTGGGTGGGTGGGTGGGTGGTGAGTGAGTGAGTGAGTGGGTGGGTGAGTGTGTGAGTGTGTGAGTGCGTGAGTGCGTGGGTGGGTGGGTGGGTGGGTGGGTGCGTGAGTGCGTGAGTGCGTGAGTGAGTGAGTGAGTGCGTGCGTTGGTGGGTGGGTGGGTGGGTGGGTGGGTGGGTGGGTGGGTGGGTGGGTGGGTTGGTTGGTTGGGTGGGTGGGTGGGTGGGTGGGTGAGTGAGTGAGTGAGTGGGTGGGTGAGTGTGTGAGTGTGTGAGTGCGTGAGTGCGTGGGTGGGTGGGTGGGTGGGTGGGTGCGTGAGTGCGTGAGTGCGTGAGTGAGTGAGTGAGTGCGTGCGTGGAGGTGGGTGGGTGGGGTGGGTGGGTGGGTGGGTGGGTGGGTTGGGTGGGTGGGGTTGGTTGGTTGGGTGGGCGGTGGGTGGGTGGGTAGTGAGTGGGTGGGTGTGAGTGTGTGAGTGTGTGAGTGCGTAGTGCGTGGGTGGGTGGGTGGGTGGGTGCGTGAGTGCGTGAGTGCGTGAGTGAGTGAGTGAGTGAGTGAGTGAGTTCGTGCGTGGGTGGGTGGGTGGGTGGGTGGGTGGGTGGGTTGGTTGGTTGGGTGAGTGAGTGAGTGGGTGGGTGAGTGTGTGAGTGTGTGAGTGCGTGAGTGCGGGGTGGGTGGGTGGGTGCGTGAGTGCGTGAGTGCGTGAGTGCGTGAGTGAGTGAGTGAGTGAGTGAGTGAGTTCGTGCGTGGGTGGGTGGTGGTGGTGGGTGGGTGGGTGGGTGGGTGGGTGGTGGGGGGTTGTTGGTTGGTTGGGTGGTGGGTGGGTGGGTGGGTGAGTGAGTGAGTGAGTGGGTGGTGAGTGTGTGAGTGTGTGAGTGCGTGAGTGCGTGAGTGCGTGCGTGGGTGGTGTGATGGTGGTGGGTGGTGGGTGTGTGGGTGGGTGGGTGGGTGGGTGGGTGGGTGGGTTGGTTGGTTGGGTGGGTGGGTGGGTGGGTGGGTGAGTGAGTGAGTGAGTGGGTGAGTGAGTGTGTGAGTGTGTGAGTGCGTGAGTGCGTGCGTGGGTGGGTGGGTGGGTGGGTGCGTGAGTGCGTGAGTGCGTGAGTGAGTGAGTGCGTGCGTTGGTGGGTGGGTGGGTGGGTGGGTGGGTGGGTGGGTGGGTGGGTGGGTGGGTGGGTGGGTGGGTGGGTTGGTTGGTTGGGTGGGTGGGTGGGTGGGTGGGTGGGTGGGTGAGTGAGTGAGTGAGTGGGTGGGTGAGTGTGTGAGTGTGTGAGTGCGTGAGTGCGTGGGTGGGTGGGTGGGTGGGTGGGTGCGTGAGTGCGTGAGTGCGTGAGTGAGTGAGTGCGTGCGTTGGTGGGTGGGTGGGTGGGTGGGTGGGTGGGTGGGTGGGTGGGTGGGTTGGTTGGGTGGGTGGGTGGGTGGGTGAGTGAGTGAGTGAGTGGGTGAGTGCGTGAGTGCGTCAGTGCGTGGGTGGGTGGGTGGGTGGGTGGGTGAGTGGGTGAGTGGGTGAGTGGGTGAGTGGGTGAGTGGGTGAGTGGGTGAGTGGGTGAGTGGGTGAGTGGGTGAGTGGGTGAGTGGGTGAGTGGGTGAGTGAGTGACTGAGTGTGTGAGTGAGTGAGTGAGTGAGTGAGTGAGTGAGTGAGTGAGAAAGAAATGGTTCATGCCCCCCCTTAAAATTGGGTCTCCTCCGAGATTATGTTCCATGTTCAGGTTGCCTAAATGTGAAACAGCAAGACGGAACATGTTTTGTACCCTGGCGTTGGACAAAGATAAAGGGACACTGAACACAAGGCGTTCCAACATGTTTGAATAAGTTGGCCCAATATCTCACCATGAGTACATCTAGAAAGTTTCCGGCAGCTTGGCCGCCTGTGTGGATGACGATGCCATAGTCGACGCAGACACGGGACACTTTCCTGCCTTCCACATCGAAGTTTGCTTGGCCCATGGTAGTTGATTTATCTTGGAAGAAGTCACTTCTTTCAAGTCCCTACTGGCAGGGAGTTACAAAGTGGGTTCTGTCCCCAGTAAAGGCAATGTGCATCAGCACGCACCAACAACGCCCTTTTTTGCGCCGAGCGCAGTCCCGTGACAACTCCAGAAAAGCAAGAAACAACACGGCTTTGAATGTGTCGTCGCAAGTAGAGAGTTCGTTCGGGAGAGCGTCTTTCAGAAGATGGCTTCAAGATGCTTCAAGGAGCCACACAAATGTGTTCTGCAGGGGTTGCAGAGCTCGGGGTCAGGCGGTTGCAAAATTGATTGCCACTGGGTCTGGATTTGGAGCCTTGGAGAAGTCATGTTGACGATGGGGTTTTCCTTGCAATGTGTATTAACGTGCGGATGCGGACCATCTTAGTTGAAACTAGCTTTAGAGCATTAAAGGAATGTGACGGGATTTGGGTCGGCTGGTAACCGCCCAGGTAGTCCCATCGGAATTGGAAAGCCACGAGACAGCTCCGAGAAACTAGCAAAGATACAACTTGTATAACAGAATAACACCAACGTGTGCAGAACGTTGCAGGAGAGAGAGAGAGAGAGAGAGAGAGAAAAAACAAGATAAGCGAGAAAGAGAAGAAAGAGATAAAACGAAAGAGAGGCGAGAGAGAGAGAGAGGGGGCGAGAGAGCGAGAGACAGAGAGAGAGAGAGAGAGATAGACAGAGAGAGCGAGGGCGAAAGAGCGAGAGAGCGAGGGAGCGAGCCAGCGAGAGAGAGGGAGAGAGGAAAAAAAACAACAAAGACAGAAATAACGACAGAAAGAACGACAGAAAGAAAGAAAGAAAGGAAATAAAGAAAGAAAGAAAGAAAGAAAGAAAGAAATAAAGAGAGCGAGAGAGAGAGAAACAAGATAGATGAGAAAGAGACGAAAGCGAGAAAGAGAGAGAGAGAGAGAAAGCCAGAGAGAGAGAGAGAAAGGGCGAGAGAGCGAGAGAGAGCGAGAGAAAGCGAGAGAGGCAGAGAGAGAGAGAGAGAGAAAAAAAAAGGAAAACAGACAGAAAGAAAGACAGAAAGCGAGAGCGAGAGAGAGAGAGAGAGAGAGCAGAGAGAAGCAAGATAAACGAGAAA